GAAATCCAAACTAATTGTGTAAACTCTTGGATAAAGAATAGTTCTTTACTGAAGGAAAACCTGAGCATGAACAACAGGTTACCTCTCTGATCTGATAGCAACTAATCAGGAGACAAATTGATAAATGATTGGACAGAGAAACAAGGATTATAGCTCTTTCGCAACATGTGCAATTACAACAAACTGCTTGACAAAACCCTTGGAGAAACCCAACTGCAGTGTTGCTCATTTCCAGAAGCACAAAGTCTAACCAAAGTAATAATGCTTAATGCCACCTTCCTCCTTGTCACTCAGTGTGGAGACAACGAAATACTCTGAGTGTGGTATTCAGGGAAATAAAAGGTTAAGCTGAATATCAATACATTGGGTTAAGTCATTAAACGCGACACAGTGAGATGTATTAGACATGTCCAAGCATTCATCAAGCTTCTGCTTGGTTTCTCATAGCGCCCCATCGAGCCGCCTCACTACATCAATATTCTACTATGCAGAGTCCCACTCTACTCTGCTCTGTAACAACCAGCAGCAAACACACATTTCTACATCTATGCGTGTGTGTTTGTGTGTGTGATGGTGCATGTGAAAGCAATAGCCTCTGCAGTGAAATAAGGCTCTCTAGGGTCTTGCGCCTCAAATGTAGAGCCTTTCTGGGCCCCCATTACTTCTGACAGATAGAGATCACTAAACTGCTGAACAAACACCCCATTCAGTAATTTGCATACATTACAGTAATGAAAAGAGAAAAATGTATCAATAAAGCCAAATGGAGTGCTTCTGGTAAGTCTTTCTCTCTCTTTCTCTTTCTTCCATTATTTTTCTTTGCTATCATTTCAGGCAACAACTTTAACTAAAAGGTAACCAAGTAATTTGACAACTTCCTTATTGACTTTTTACTCGACAATAATCTAATTTCTTTGGCTTAAACACATAAAAAATAGAAGAAAGGAGAGTAAGCAAAAAAAATTTAAATAGGAAACATTGCTTTTAAACTATGGTTTATCTCTAAAAAATTATCATTCACACTAAAAAAAGTGGCCCCTATTTCATTGCATATCTACTTCTAATGAACACAAACACTGACTGTCTCATTCATCACAGCACACATCAGGCAAGACAACAGAGCTTCACATAACTTTTTCAGGGCTACTCAAGCATCAAATGCATGACTTTTAGCTGGTGTTGTTCCTCCATCTGTCATGCTTCAAGGAGCCAACATACCTTTTTTTACCATCCCTGGAAAAAGTTAAAGGAAGCATCTTCACTTTAATTATTCTACTTCACGCGTATTGATGACGCTAAAAAAAAAAAAAAAAAAAAATCTTAAACAGAAAGAAGTCCTGTCCTGAGAATCATTGTTCCAACAGTCAATCAATAAAACCTTCTACATAAAAGCAGGAGTTTCATCCTGGTTTATGTACTTTAGTTTCAATCAACTGATTTGTTTCAAATTATAAAAACTACCAAACCTGCTGCAGATTCTGAAAAGGTAGAAAAATTTACCAGAATGTCAAAACACATTTAAGAAACTCCAATTGGCAAAATACTGCATACGTCTATTGTAAAAGTGAAGCCAAAGGATCCACAGGAATGTAAGACGATATCTAAACCAGTAGTATTTTCTACAACATGTTTGTGGTTTATCCAGGCTATGCGAGTGCAAGACTTTCAGTAGATATCAGGAAGGCTAAGCAGATCATAGAGATTATTTTGCACTTTCAAACCTCGGTCTGTCATGGAACATGTCTGATTTAGAAAATGGAGGCAGCTTTTTTGAAATCTCAGCAATATGGTAAGGTTCTGCATTCTCTCATAAATACTCACAAAAACATAAACTTAGTGATGATTATGTCTCTGCTTAGAAACAGTAAAATTATTTTACAGTGTCATTTTACCTCCTTATGTTACAGTTATAAAAGAAAAATTGGACTCAGCTAAAACAAGTAGGTTAAAGCAAATATACGTATTGCTTGTGTTTATCTAAGGGAAGAAAGGACCAAATAGTGATCTCTATCACCAGTAAATGTAAAAACTCTATCAATATTGTGTCTGTGCTTTTCTCTTGTATGCATTCATTAAAATACAAGCAAATGCCATTATATTATAACTGCTAAAATCATCAACTGAATCTAGAACATAATAATTTTGTTGCATTTCTTCCAATAGTAGATGCAGCAAAACCAGGAAATGATGTTATCTATGTGAAATACCATGAGAGAAGAGACATGGCAGGGGTGGCTTACAGTCATGTTAAAGCAGAGAAAAATTCATAGGTTAACATTCTGGAGATGAAAATGTAAATTTGTTTCATCTCTGTTCAGCTATATTCTCAGTTGGCTGAACCACCAATAAAGATATATAAAGCCAGTGCTTGATAGAAGTACCTGTCTGGCTTCAGAGAGTTATCACCAAGCCGAGAGGAAATGATGAGAGGCATTTCTGTCAGTTAAACTTGTTTTGAAATTAACCTGCAATCATGTTTTTTTTCTCTCCACTGAAATGGACACAAAACTGCTAAAGATGGCAGATGTAGCCCACTTTAATTAGCTGAAATTATGTCTAAGAGACACTGGAGCGTAATGAGATTTGGAATTATGCCAACAGTCGCAGAGAGACAGAAATGAAACATTTTATTTTTCCACAGCAGAAGCACAAGCAGCATCTAAAAAAGCTACATATTAAGCTACATTTCATTTAGAAGAGCATGGTTACATCTCATCAACTTATAAAACTTAGTTCTTCTATTGACTAAAATATGAAAATGTCATTTATGGTATAGTATCTACCTTCATTTTCAATACTTTAGAATAAATGTCCCAATGAGTCTCATCTGAAAATAACTACTTTTTTAAAATTAAGCCCACATTTTGTAAAAAAAAAAAAAACATTTTTGGTCTGAATATTTTAATTTTAAATGTCATGTTTTCATAAATTGAAAAATCATCATTATCATCAAAATGGCTTTCAATTATCCATCTGTGTGTAATTAATCTCTATAATGTGTTTCACTTGGTGATAAAGTATAAATGATAAATAAATGGGTTTTTCAATTATATTCTAAATTGTTCAAAAATCACATTTGTTTTGCTTATTCAGATAGTAACTGATATAAAAAAAATGAAGTAGTTCTGAAAAAGTATGTTGTTCCTTCCTCATGCCAATTCTTTAAAAAGTATTTACACTCCCCTCAGCTTTTTCATTTGGGATATTAACAGCAATTAAAAGAAGAAAGGAAAAAGATAAATGTCTAAAATGCGCTGTAAAATATCCTGTTCAAAGCTTTTCTCAAGCTTTGTAAGAGTCACAGTAAATGTAGAAAAAGGTGCTCAGATTGCACCAAAACAACAGTAAACATTGGTTTATCTAGCATATTCTGAAAACACCACCCATATGTAAGCACAGTAATGGTAGAATCATGCTGTGGACATCTTTATCTTCTGCAGAAATTTGAGGGAATTGAGTTAAATTGAAGGCAATTCTGAAAAAAAGCAGGTTGCAAAAGTCTTGAGACTGGGTCAGAACAGAAATTGAATGGTTTAGATAATGTATATTTATGTGTTACCGTGGCCTAGTCAAAGTAAAGACCGAAATCTGAACTGAAGTCTTAACAACTGCTATTTACAAAAGATCTTCATCATATCTAACAGTTCAATCAGTTCTTTTTCCAAAGAAGAATGGCCAAAAATTAAGCAGATTTAAGTTTGCGGATGCATTGTGTCCAACTAATTATAATTAAGGGCTATAAATTATTTTTTAATTATTAAACTAGAATCTGTGATAGTCTTTGTTTAAGAAAAGAAAGTGTAAGGAAAAGACAAGAACCAAAAATATCAGAGACTTTTAAAGTTTTCTTAGCTTTTAACACCAAAACCTTCAGGTGAGATTGGGAGAAGGAGGGGAGCGAGGTTTTTTCAGGTCATGCCAGTCGGCTTCTCACTGCTAACCTCTAGGGAGGAGCTCCAGACAGTGAAAGAGAGCCATACTGCAGTAAATCTACACTTCCCCATTTCCTCTCGCTCTAGCCCTCCAGTTCTCCAAGGATTCAGGGAATCAATACTGGCATCAGGGGGCAGAGCAGCTTTCCTGCCTGCTAGCTCCTGAAGCCATGTGAAAGCCTGGGGTTTGCTCATTCATTTTAATTTCATCACGTTAAACGCTTTTTGGGGATTTAAAGCAGATTATTTGTGATCTTAGACTATCACTCTTTTAGCACTCAGTATCTAAATAAATGCCAGATTAAAGGCAGAAAGTATCAGGTTATGTGTTAGTACACCCATACACTTTTACAACTACTCAAGAGTTGAGTTTTTTTTTTTTTTATCATTTTTTATTGCGTTAGAAGCCACAAAAAGGATCCTGGAGAGTGTTTTAATGTTTTTACTCTTCCTAATGTAAGGGAATCTAACCTCGGGGTGTTGACATGAGATTTGATTTTCACCATTGATCAAACTTGCAGGTTGAGGACCTTTTTTCTCAGAGAGGTTGCTGGGAAAAAAAGCCAGGGACAAGGCTAATTTAATTTTGGGGGGGAGCAGAGATGCTCAGGTTAGAGTGAAGCACTCTGTTATCGAAACAGGAGCGGTGCCATGAGGAAAGATGGTTCTGTGGAGAGGCTTGTGTGGCCGGTCAAGAGATGAAATCAGGGATACGCGATAAGATGGTGTGAGGGGCTAGAAGCCCCTATTAGAGGCCCTCAGGAGACAGGCAGCAGTGGCAGAGTGCAGTAAAAATAGCCATGGGCACGACTTCACTCTTGGGACACAGGGAGGAATGAAGAGGGAGATCTGATCAACATTTCGGAGCAAAGCAGTCGGATACATTCCCACCACACTCCCCTGGGTGTCACCTATCACACCAAGTGACTTAAACTGCTCGCCACTGCCGGGCAGAACACAAACATGCACGTTTACGAGCAACACCAACGACGCGGCATGTGAAGTTATTCGGTGTGGAGGAAAACAAGCATGCAGAGGTGCGAGAATCATCGGATTAAAAAGGATATGGACATCTTTTCCACAAACTTATCTTGGGGGTCGTCCGTTTTGGGGAAGTTTTCGATATCGTTCTCCAGACGCTCAATCTGCTTCTCCATTGTGGTCAGACTGCCCTTTAAAATTTCAGCAGACACTGTAAAAAAAAATAGAAAAGATACCAATAGATCATTATCAACATTTGGATTTACTGGAAATCATAATTATAATAATAATAAAAAAAAAAATCCTTCCTTTCCGTAACAAAATCAACACAAATGGCAACATGTTGAAAGAAAAACCAGCTGCGACGGAGGCAGACTGTATGTTGCGACAAACTGACTACAGTAAACTCAATTTGTGTGTGGCCTAGAAAGCCTGCGTGCGTGCGTGTGTGCACGTGTGTACAGTGTGTAGTTGTGTCTGCTGTGGCTCATTAATCAGTCTGTAATCACTGTTTGCAGAGTAGCTGTGAAATCCACAGTATTCAGATTAGGCCTTTCAAGTAGAAACTTCAAACAGCAAGCAATGTCTAATGGGATCAGACGGGACAGGAGCATGGATGCAGTCCCAAGTTTAGGTTGCACTTTTAGTTTTATTGATGCACGCAGATGCAATATAAATAACTTTAGAGGCTTTGTCAATGAATTGCGATTCCGGCTAAATTTGGCTCACAGAGTAGTGGATCGAAAACCTTTTGGTAGATTTTTATAGCCATGAAAGAAAAATAAACTCCTAAGTGGATTCATATGTAAGATGAGTAGTGAACAAGAAGCTTGGGCTGATGATGAGCGTATACATGAATGATAAAAACACTGATAAAACTCTGACTTCCATCAAACAAAACTGGCTGAAGAGCATGGTCAGGGTTTCCCAGAATACATGGGTTTGTATTTTTTCTTAAAAAGACCAACATTTTTCTGAAGCTCAGGGTCAGGACCTAAAAAAGGGCAAAAGTTCAAAAGTTTTACAAAATGGTTCACATGAAATGCAAAATGCAGTTTTTCTGTTTGTATTCCAGAACAAAATTTAAATTTCAGGAAAAGAATTTCCAGGAATATAATTTGGATGAGCATTATTGTGTCAAAGAATATTAGAAATTGTGACATTTTAAAAATGCTCCCTTTTATCAAGATATAACCCCAAATGAATTGTTTGTGTTAGATTAATGAAGTAATTTATAAATAACAAAAATAGCACATGGTTTAGACATATGGCAATTCTTTTGTTTATTATAGTGAATCATTTTCAGATGAACTGGTTGTAAAATGATCAAATACATTTAGATATAAATGCAGTGGTATTGAGATAAGGGTAAAGAGGCCATCAGACCATTTCCTCTCAACCAGGTTTTAAAGCTCAGATATGATCTCAGTTTGTTTTCAGATGATTAGAAAAAAAAACGACAGCAATTTAGCTGACAACTGGATCTCAAACCACCTCCAACCAGTCAACTAAAAGTCATCCACACACACACATTTCTACCAGATCCACATACAGTTCAGCTGTAATTCAGCATGAGTGAAGCCTGAGCTCTCTGTCATTACTGGACTTTACAGCTAGCTGCCTGGATAGACAGACTGGGAGATTCCCAGCTCCTCCTTCCCAATTCCCATAGACTCCACTCCTGGGAATGACACCGAGCAAAACACAGTATCACATAGCCTGTTTCTCCACTGATGGTGCCTCTGAGATCCCTATGCTTTGCCACTGTGATCTTAGCTTCACTAATGGTGAAAAGGGGGAAGCAAACGAGCAAGAGAGGTGGGCTGATGATGCAAGAAAAGAGACAATTACATTCACACTGAGCTGCTGGGAGGTCTTTGTCAGGCACTGTGCCTTCTGATAGTAGTATTATAGTAGCTTGAGGCCTGACTGATAGTACTGAGTAATGTTTTGGCTGAAATACTGATTATAGTAACGGCTGTAGCCAAAAAATAGTGGCTGCAGCAAAGTACGCTAGGGTTTCAGGGGAGCTGTTAACAGGATCAGAGCACAGCCATGGGACTTCTGAACAGACTATTGTTTACATGGGAGCTGCCCACCGCTGAGACACACTGACACAAATATAGAACGCAAACTGCTTACCCTGAACAAATCTGTTTCTTATACACAACAATGTATATGCTTATAGGCTAGTTAATGTTTTCTTAGAACTACACACAGCACATAGTATCGGTTCATTGTTGAGATAATCACTTGTTTACAAAATCTAGCACCAATTCCTTTAGGATATAATTAGTAAATCTACAAAAAAAAGATAAAAAAATAAAAATAAAAAATCCTACTCCAATATCCGAGGAGAAAAAAAAAAATACATGGCAACACTGGAGTCTTGAGAATGCATACGAGGTGGATCAGAGGAGAAACGGGGGACGGGAGGGGTTGGACATTCTGGTAATGGCTGTGAGGAAGAGCAGGACGGGTCTTTTAACAGGCACACTTTACGGAAATAACCGCGAGGCTGCATGATGTATGGGGGACACGAAGGAGAGCAGGGAAGACAAAAGGCAATTTGAAAGACAAGATTCTAACTTAACATATTTATTGATATGAGGTCTGTAACACTAGCTGTTGGCACTTTTCTCCTTCCTACAGGGGGGAGGAAAAAAGGGAAAAACGAGATAAAGACAGAGCACATTATGTTTGCTGTGTAACGCTCAAATAAAGTGTCAGAGAAACACACTGTGCAGCTCACAATACCAAATCAACCATAATAATGTGAACATGTCAACTTGCAGTTTGGTAATTTATGAAAGGGGCAATTTTCTTTTTATTTATAGACAAATAATCCCAGTCTCTTTCAGTGCTGCTTTAGGTTACAAAGAAAAATTAAGACTTTTTTTTCTTTTTCAAACATGTAGACAAAGTCAAATGCCACATTTACAACTGAAGGTCTTTCATAAGTGCATCTGGAACCTTGGAGAAGTGAACACATGAGGTATGTTTGAGTCATTATTTGCATAAAAATACACCAACATTTCTAAAAGCTACTACTTCAAGGGGTATCCAGAGTGCGGTCCGGGGGCTATTTTGGGCCCTTGGAATGATTTTGTGTGTTCCTGGTTAACAATTCAAGTTGGGGCATGTTTAGGGTGTAACTTAAGCTTTTATTCTAATTGTATAGGAATTTGAACCTCAAACATCAGCAGACATTTACTCCAAAAGACCCTCAGATCAACTAACCATCAACTTATCTTTCTGTATTACAAGCATTTTCAATGAAATAATAATCCATATCATGATCTTATTGCTCAGAGTTTACTAAAAAAAAAGTGTTTTTACTTGCAAAACAGCAGGAAGTTCACTCAAGAAAGGTTAAAAAATATACGCCTTCCTTTCATGTTGCAAACATGTTGGACACTATTATGTTTCAACTCCACAATGATTTACAGAAATCTTTTTTTGCAGTTATTTGAAATAAATATGGCACAATTTGTCAATTTGCAAGAGGTAAAGAAAATCTGAATTTCACAAAAATATTTTATTTCAACTTAATTTTTCCCAGTTTTAAAAATTTGTTGACACCACTGCCTTTTAGATTTACGTCTTCATAATAAGAGCAGCATTAAAGTTATACTGTAACTATCTGACACTAGCTCTGCCTAAAGTGAATAAATTGATGCACGTCTACTGAGTAATCTTCTAATTTATTTGATTTGTGGGAAAAATCATGAAGCTAAAAGTGAGAAACTGCACAAGCAATTCACTTCAGCACTTTCACAACATCGTGGATCTTGGTGGAGTTGTTGCACATGAACTCTATTAAAGACAGCTGTGTTGCACTCTAACCACACAGTGGGCACCGGAGGAGGTAGCACCCACTCAAGACAGTGTTTGTGATTCCACCAGATGTACAACAGCAGGTTTCAGAGATGTCCTGAAAATAAAAAGACTGCTACACATATGTATTTTTTTTTTCCTGAATGCGATGTCAACCTCATGGTGGAGGAAGAAACGGAGCAGCGGCTGTATGAAAAGTTTGTCGCAGATGAAACGCTGCAGATCTGTGGCCCGGCGGAACCCCAGGGTTAGAAGCAATCTCGACCCAGTGTGACGTCTCCCTCTCACGGCACTCTTCGCATATGCAACACAAAGTAAGCGAGGAAGCAACCTGAGAGACTTTTTAGCGTCGGCGCATCAAATGACGTTAAATTGTTAAGACAAATTTTATCTCACAGGAATACCAGTTTTAGTTCTGTTATTTTTCTTTTCTTTTCTTGGTGGTATCTAAAAATGAATTAGAGATGAAATGGAAAACGGATTACTTCGCAGGAGAGGTGGAAAACATGAAGAAAAACAAAAATCTGTGCTCCTCTTCTCTCTAAGCCTCTCAAGTTGCAGCAGCCAGAGTGATACTGTTGCTGCGGCACAGCAGTCACATTGTTCTTTCTGATTATCTTGGATCATGTGATGTTACAAACAGCAGGCAGGAGAAAGTGGGAAATTAGAAAATTTAATGGACAGCATAAACAAAGAAATGGGGGGAGTGCCAGTGTAATCTATAAACATTACGGTTCAGTGTTCAGATATCAGACGACTGGCGTCTTCCTGCTCTGTTATAAATAAGTAAATAGTTTCAGTTATTCATCAAATTCTAAATATTTATGTTGCGTTGAATTATTTATTATTACACAGATATTTAAGAGATAGTTATTGCATCATGATAGCAAATAAACAATTTGCATAAGCGCAGCTGCAGTCAGTGTGAATGTTTTAATACTTGCGTGAAAGTAACAGTAAATCTTTTAGTTTGCTCTATTTTCTTCTCTCATTTATCACCAAGATGGAATCTTTAATGCACCACAAATATTAACATTATGACGGATCTGCGAGTCTGATTAAATTAGCGATAATTCCCCATCTATCCAACAGCGGCGCCGAAGTGGCGTTTCATGTAAATCATATGATCTAATGTCAGGACATAAATTATAAAACACATTTAAAATGATATCTCTTACTATTAAGTATTTTTCCAAGATTGTGTACAACATACTTATTAAGATATATGTAAATGAGGTGGTGCATAGTGGCACACTTCCTTAATTTCTAACTACTTTGTGTTGGCCTACCCAGTAAAATTCAAATAAATCAAAGTTTGTGGGTACATTTTGACTCGATGTGAAAAAGTTATATACAAATTAATACTTTTGCAAG